ATAATGTACTTAAAAGATCATCAATACATATTCCAATAATTTTTATTCGATCTTCATCGAAGGTCTAAATATTAGATGGCATCAAATTAGAATAGCTATTCATTACATAATTTAAATTTTTGAAAGTTTCCAAAAGTTTCTGTATGATTTATTCATCTTCTAAACTTTATATATATATACTGTGTTGTTTTTTTTGTTTGCCCAACAAAAAATGTGACACACTAATTACAATAATGTGTCACATTTTAAAATGATTATTGTAACCTATACTGTAAAAGAGGTTCCTAAATAAATATTTATATATATATATATATATATATATATATATATATATATATATATATATATATATATATATTGCAATATTACAAGAAAATATTTGAAAATTGTTTTTGCTAGTGAAAAAAGCTGTTTTTTACAAAAAAATCATAAATTTGAATCGTAAAATATCTGTAAGTGATTAAAAATAACAGTAAAATCATAGTAATGACTATATAAAAGCCCAATGGTAAAAAAATTATAGCTACAATTAGCTTATTAATTTCTAAAATCAGACTTTAAATTATTTAATGCAAACCCCTGATGCTTTGAAAGACACATTTGGATATTACAGAATGATGTTCTATTCAAGTTAATGCTGATGAGAGACGTGTTGTATTTTCAATTGTTGTAATGATATTTCAAATGAGGAGAATATGCACACTTACTGTATTTGAAAATTTGTACAGTAATGAAGTGGAGAAATATTATTTCCTAAATACCAGTATGAATCAAAATCAAATATAAATTTATTTGGTAGAGTTAAGTATTACCTCCCGAATACCTCCTGTCTTAGTTGTATTAGTTACTTGTCAAAAATAATACTTCTTTAAGCAGTAGTGAACTTAAGCTCCTTCGTTTATTTTTTATGATTTTTTTTTCTTTTCTTTTTTTTGTGATAGCTTAAAATTTTGTAAATTATTGAGATGAGGACCACACGGGTTACGTGTGGTTCACAATCACTTTGGTCACACTTGTTCATGGAGTGCCGAAAGCATCCGAGTTTATCCAAAAACCTGTTTTCGACATTTCATGAACAATGTAACTGAAGTGATTGTGGACACGTGTAACCCATGCGGTACTCATTTAAATAATTACCAAAATTTTATTTAATCCTTAAAATAGTCATGCACAAAAAAAAGTTTGACTTTAACAGAATTTTTTTAAAGTAAATTAAAACTCAATGATCATTTTCAATGTCAAAGAAAGCAGAAACCAAAAAAACAGGAATCAACTCAAAAATGAGTCAAACTTAAGCAGTTGAAATTAAATCATAATTAAGAAGTAAAATTATTTCATAAGAGCTGTTTTAGTAACTGATGTTATGAACAACAGTTACTATTGGTAGTATTTTGGAGATTTAATGATATTAAATTCAAATATGCTTGAATCATGAAGTAATGATTGGTTTAATAAGTTAAAACTCTAAAATTTTAATTTCTAAGTATGTAGCTATTTTAAGGCATTCAACCTCTGGCTAGATAAGTATATATATTACAAACTTCAGTTATTGATATAAACTTAATTTTAAGATATCATATACAAAGTTCTGACTGAACTTTTAGAAAGTTGTTCTATAAATGTGGGATGATCTTCTAAATTAAATAATATTTTAATATTAAAATTATTAATCTATTGAACGTAATTTCGAAAACAATAAAAAGATGTTTATTAAAATGTTTATAAGAAATTGTAACTTACTAATAGTTTTAATTCACATTGAGTTCATCAGAAAAAGAACAGGCTGTACACTACACCAAAACAAAAACCACTAGGAATACTGTTTTACCAGTGTTGTTTATAATTCCCACCACTTAAATTTTACACAGATTTCAACTGTTCTCCAAAAAAATTGATTATAATCTTTAAATATAATCTTTAGTATTAAACCATAAGATTATATTTAATTAATTAAGATATTTCTAAATTTATGAAAATTACTGATTCATTAATAATACAACTATAGTTGAATCGCTTGTTATCAATTTATTACCGTTATTACTTGTGTACGCACGGTATTATTTCTAAAATATCACTTTGATATACTAAGCCGGATTTCGGCATTTCGCAAACTATAGTAAAAACAATTATCTAACTTAACTAACAGTGACATTATTGCTAAACCAAACAAACTATGTATTTTATTTCTCTTGATACCGACAGCAGAAGGAAAATATCAAAAACAAGAAAAAAAAAAGTCTGCCAAGTAAGGTCAGTATAGCTTACTTAGTGTTTTCATATGCTAAAAAATATCTATAGTAAAAGGTCTAAACATTTTCTTATGAGAATAAAATCTCTGGAAGAAGCCGTTTTCGGAAATTCAGTAATCTCTCAACTTTGATATCCACAAGTTTTGTTTGCCAGCAAATACTAAAATGCGAAAAAGTTCCGCATTTGTAGAAAGCATATTTGATAATTCGTAATAAAACATAAAAATTCCCGCTTACTAAATATTTATCTCGCTACAGTTAGTGCAAATGACGTATGTAAAGATTCAGTGTTTTACAGGAGAGCATAAAAACTAATTATTTCTTTATGATTTATGAGTATAATTTCATATTTTATTGCCCTCTACAATTTTTCATAGTCGTAGACTACTTATATCAAAAGCAGACTACATAATTTCAAAAATAGAATAAAAATTTAAAGCTTTTACATACGACATTTGCACTAACAGTAGTGATATATACTTAATAGTTTAATAGTATGTTTTCACTCGTAAAATAGATGGAACGAAAAATCCATAGGAAAAATTCAACTTTTTGTTTGCTCGGAGACAAATACTTTTCTTCAGTCAGAACAAAATTTAAGCTGGAATATAAAAATATGAATGAACTGAACACAGTTTTGATATTTAAGGAGAAAATCGGGACCACGACGAGCTTATTGAACTTCAATGAAAATAAACACAATCACTTTTTTTTTTTTTAATCACAATCACTGTTTTGACAAAGACAAACTATGTTTTCATTTGAAATTAACTTTGTCTAGTTTACAGTGAAACAATTTGTAATTACTTAAATTAAATATTTCCTTGGTTATTGCTTCCTATTCGACAAAAACATGACGCTTAAAAAACATAAAACTTAAATTTTCTATTTTTCTGTTGAAAAATGGCTCATTGTTTATATAAACTTTTTTGTAGCTCTTATCAGTATTATAAATATTTCCCTTTATTTACGGGACACTTTGTGCACGTATAATTTAATGCAAATTAATTGAATTGTTCATAGAAACTGAATGAAAGCTTATAAAACGTATTTAAAGTTTGGCAAACCAAAAATGTATCATACGCCGCTTTGCATCACAGCGATTGTTTGAAAATCTATTTCATTAACATTTTGTCAGAGAAGAAGCCATATTCAGAATTTTCGTGGAAACGCCTCTTCATAAATGACTGAGATAAGACCAAGCCTTTATGCGTAACTCGCTCACTTTATATATCGTGGTTATTGCACACTTCAATTTGTAGGCAAGTGCGCATGAAATGTAATCTTCCAGCTGATTAAGTAGGAGGAAGGCTTTCTAAAGTTAAACTTTTTTTCACGATACTCTATTCAAAAGCTCGAAACGTATCTTATCTAATAGTTTGTCCATGCAACCCGTTTACAACATTGCAATCAAACTATTTACTGTCATCAAACTGTGTCAATTTTATCAGAGCTTTCTTTACCGAAAACTATCGTAACATCCTGCTAACTAGTGTATCGCTCAATTTTCCTAGTATGAAAATGACCTAGGTAGTGTCATACCCACTTATGGCATATAAAAAAAAAAATATTTTCCTGCAAAACCAGAGATGATTTTAAATATTACGGCCTGCAAAGGATATTTCAAATCATCATAACGTCTAATTTTAAAATAGCCTTTGAAAACAAAATATCCATACTCCTATGGTGTCAAGAAAACTCAATATTCAGAAAAAAGTCAAAAATTGATATTAAAAATGGATTTATTTAATTTTTGTATTGCTTCTACCATGCACGGTCATTGTCAATACCTTTAAATTAAACTCTATTATAGAATTTCACCTATTTTAAGAATGCTAATGTTTTTTTAACTGCTCTTTCGCTGTATTGTAAATTTTCTTTTAGAGTTAGTGCCATGTCCAAATTTTCCTTGATAGTTTTCAGTGTTGGGCAGTCCTCTAAGATGTGTTTTATTGTTCTTTGGACATTGTAACTTCCGCAGATCGGAGGAACACGTCCTCTTAGCAAGAAGTCATACGAGAACTCATAATTCCCACTCTTATTGAAAATTTAAGATTAAAAAATTTGGATAATATTCAGTACATTCTGAAGATACAGATGAGTAGAAAGCGTGGAAACACGGCAATATGTCTGTAATGCATTGGAAGTTTTTATTACAATATCCACTTCATTCTGTGTCAACAAACTGCATCATAATTATAGCCATATAAAGTAAATATGATGATAATAGTTCAAGTTATTTAATTCTAATTTTCTTCAAAATCTGAGAGTCATTAAAACTGTATTTTACTCACACATATTTTTTTCCCTATATTATGAAAAAAGAACATTTCTTCAATTTAAAACTAACAGATTGAAGTTATTTCCAGGTTTTCCTGATTTTTTTCAAGTATAATTTTTTTCTTACTTATGTTCTGTATTTATTGAATTTTACCGAGTTATTATTGTATTTTATAATAATTACCGTTGGCTTATACTAATAATTAAAGCAAAATTTTTGAAGTTTATTAATTCATTTAAAATTAATTTCTACTGGATGTATAGTGGTCAAAGAAAGATTATGATAGTTTACTTGAAATTAGAAATATAATGGTTTCGGATCGAAGTTTTCAGATTATCTAATACAGAATGTCCTCGACACTTTTCTTAATAAATACTATGATTAGAAACAAACCATTTTTGGTATTTAAATTAAGAAATAAAAAAAATAAGCCAAGGGAAAACAAAACACTGACCATTATATAAATAGGAGTCTTTAATACAAATAAGTTACAAAGAAAAAGTAGCTATTCGGCATCATTAAACACAATAAACGTGATGTTGAACAGATTCCTTTCCTCTATTACTTTACAGTCTTGGTCCATTTTGTTTACCAGTACTTAGCATGAGCGCGGGCATCGACGACAGCTGGGGCGGCAGTGACAGTAACTGGACCAGTAGCGACGGCTACTGGAGCAGCGGCAATGGTCTTAGTTGCAGTCCAAGCTGGAGCGGCAGCATAAGTTTTAGCAGCAACAACTGGTGCAGCGGCGTAGGTTGCAACAGCTGGAGCAGCAGCAACAGCTACAGGTGCAGCAGCATAGGTCCTAGCTGCAGTCCAAGCAGGAGCAGCAGCAACGACTGGAGCAGCAGCATAGGTCTTAGCTGCAGCCCAAGCAGGAGCAGCAGCAACGACTGGAGCGGCAGCGACGGCTGGAGCGGCAGCATAAGCAGTAACTGCTGGGGCAGCCACGGCTGGAGCGACAGCTACTGCGGGGCCACGTACGACAGGGGTACGGACTTCGACCTCAGATACTACAGGGGTTGGTACGGGAACGTCATAAGGAACTTTCTTAACGGTAACTTCGGGTTCAACTTTGGTCACCTGAGGAATGATAGTTTGGACCTGCCTGCCAGCGGCAATAACGGCTTCTTTTGATACAGTTTCAACGGGGGTAGCAAGTGCGCCAAAGTTGGGTTTGTGGACGGCACTGGTATATCCAGTTACAACAGATTGGGTGCCATAGTGAATGTTCTTCTCGATGGCGACTCCGGTAGATGTGAAGGTGGTTGGAGTAGCAAGACGTGCAGCTGGGGCTACAGCTACAGCTGGAGCAGCGGCAACAACTGGAGCTGCTGCAGCATATCCGGTGGCAATAGCTGGAGCAGCAGCATATCCGGTGGCAATAGCTGGAGCAGCAGCATATCCGGTGGCGATAGCTGGAGCAGCAGCGTAACCAGTTGCGACAGCTGGAGCGGCAGCGTAGGTGGCAACAGCTGGAGCAGCGGCGGCATAAGCCTTAGCACCAACAACTGGGGCAGCATAAGCGGCAATTCCGGGGGCAGCAGCTACAACAGGAGCAGCTGCGTAAGTCCTAGCAGCTACAACTGGGGCGGCAGCGGCATAGGCAGTGGTGGCTATAGCAGGAGCGCCGTGGTAAGCAGAAATTGCTGGGGCGGCATAACTGCTGACGGAAACTCCATGATGACCCACGCTAGCAAGACTGCTCCTGGCCAATGCGACGCAAAACAACACCACCTATTTACGGAAATCATCAAAACACTTTTTATATTCAGTTTAAAAAGTACATAATGTAATATCTAATTTAATCACTATTTTAAAAAATAAAATAAAAAATATCGATTTTATTTTGATGAAGAGTAACTAAGGACTTTGGAATTTAGGATTATTGTCTTAGCTTGTCCAACTTTTTTGCCGTTTGTAAAAAACTTACCAACTTGTTCATGTTGAGTACGAGTAGGTCTGTGTTGTTGGACTGGTTGATTAAAGTCTGATTTCTGGCCAGCAAAATGAGGCTTATATATGAGCATGGGCGGGGTCTGGCCTTGGCCGTCAGGTCTTTTTGTTCCGTCCTCTACACCGAATCCCTTTTGGTTCTCGATATGTCCTATGAAATTAGAGTGATGTACCATTACTAGAGGATAAATAAACCGAGTACCGTATTTTGATTAATAGTTTACCTAAGTCCTAAACTAGTAATAATTCTTCATTAATCTTTTACTTTAGTGCTTAAAAACAAATAAAAAGCCTAAACTAAGGTTCATATTAAAATGTTACTTATTAATACGTAATTTTAATGATGCAGACTATAAAAGCCCTGAAATAGAAAACCTGGCAGACGGGAAATGTTCAATTTTGTATCGGTAAAAAAATAATTATGGAGAGAAAAAAAACGTACACCATTTTGATGATAAAATAAAATACAAGGAAAACATATAATACAGTGCGATAAATTGGATTGACTTCTTTTATTGGCTGAATTAATGACACAACAATTAAAAAGCAAATAACATCAGAACTAAAATTTTTCTAGCAATTTACCACCATCTAAATTCTGCTGCCGGTCCAAAAAGAACAAATCTTTACCAACCCTCCCCTCGTTCCTAATATTGAACAATTTATTCTCTATTATATAACGTTTCGCACTGTTTCCTTAGTACTTAAAAATATAAGACTGTCAAAAATTGGAAAATTTTAAAATTTAACAAATTTTTAGGCAGATAAGATACCAGAGGTCGCAAATTTATATATGTTATCAAGTTTTCAAATTATTGATATAATTAGATTTTTTAAAATGTTTTTGTTTGTTTTTTGTATAAAGTTGTTTCTCCAAAAACCTTTTTAAAAACTGCTATGAGGTAGTTTTGTAATGTTGCATCATATAAAACAATTTAATATTTTTCAAACGACCTTAACACATCATGACTACTCTAAAACCCATATTGCGTATTTGCAATTCATAAGCGAATGTTCCTGTTTTTATAAAAATCAAAACAAAAGTACGGGTATGTAAATTGTTTTGTAAATGGGTTGGTCTAGACTTTTTATTTAACAGGATTTTACGCAGTAGTTTTGCTTCTTCAAGAAGGCGTGGGGAAAAAGCTAAAATCCCGTTTTGGTCACTGAACTGTAAATTTTGAAGTCCAATGAACAAGTGTCTTCCACTGGCGAATCTACGGGAGAGAGCATTCGGGCTGAAGCCCCTTCCCCCCGTTTTTTTTCATTGGTCTATGATGACGTGTGATGAAGATAAATACTTAAACAATCACGACATGTTCTATTTTTTTTCAATTATTATGCATATATGTATACTAAATATCTCCATGTTTTTATGAAGAAATATTTGAAAAATGTCTCTATCAAATTGTGGTTCTTGTAATTACATTTTTTTTTTTAAATAGGGCTTTAAGAATCTTTTAAACATCACTTCATATAGTTTCTTTCTTTTTGTTCCAAAGAAAATATCGAATAAAGGATATATATATATATATATATATATATATAAGCTTTCGAGCTGAAGCCCCCCAAAATTATATCATAGGTCCGTTCGCGAGTACGAGTTCGCGTCCCGGTGCCGGAGGGGATTTTAAATTCCCCGCCCTCACCCCCGGCCCGGGAAAATCCCGTATAGCCTAAAAGGCGAGGTAGGGAAGAACAAAAAAAAAAAAAAAAAAAAGAAACTATATGAAATGGTGTATAAGTGATTCTAGAAGTCCTATTAAATGTAATTACAGGACCAATAATACTTTTAGAGATTATTTTTTACCCAAAAACATGGTTACATTTTACAGTCCGAAAATCCCCCTCCCCCATGTAGATCCGCCTGTGGTGAGGTTTACAAGATTTAAGAATCATAAATTAACACCAATAAATATCACTAAACAAAGAAGACACAAGGAGAAGGATGCAAAGAAGCCACTTGGCTGAGGAGTCAGAGTTTTGGGGGAGGTGTCAAATTTCAAACAATTTTTTTTATAGAACAAATAAAAAATAGCTGTAGTTCCTTTTTGATTGTTTTAATCTCAATTCAGTCAATAAGTTAATCTTATGAAATTACAATATTTATTTCAAAATATATTCTATAAAATTCAGTTACGAAACTATTGAGTTTTGTTAAAGAGGGGAGTAAGTGATAAAAGGGGTGGCAAAATTTTAAAAAAATCTTATTTCCGACTTCGTATTTTAGAGTCTCAAGGATTTGTGTTTGGAATTTGCCAATTATATTATATTATATTAATGCAATTCCAACAATTAATCAATGTCTCTTTCTGATTTGTTGCTCTTCTTAGTTAAGTATTTGGATATTAATTAAGTATTTTGGAACAGTGATTGGATATTCCGCAGTTGATAACTTAAAAGCTAACTCCTTTAAGAAGCATTCTTTTCTCATTTGTCAGCATCATAGCTGCCAAAATTAACTGGTCAAACCAGACATGCTAAAGGATCCATTCATGGGTTGACAATGAAAAAAAATATCTTCGTCCTTTACTTCCTGGATAATTTTTAAAGACGTCTTAAACCGGTTTTGAAATACAAGAGCATTAAACCTTTCTTCATTCATTGAATCAGCGATGCTCAGTTGAATCATCAATCTGATAACAGCCATGCCATTACTGTTTGTAGCACATTAAATATCCTCTTATATACAACCTTTTATCCGTAGATTTCAGACTTATGAACTGATGAGAAATGGAACAACTTACTATACGAGTATAGTAATAACAATTAATTTAAATATCAAATATAAAAAAATTTATCTAAGTGAATAAAAAACGTGTTTATCGCCGTAAAAAGATACAAAATAAAATTTATAATCAGAAGTGTCCAGAAGGGGGTTTCATGACGTTTTGACGCGATCTTAAATTTTTGAGAGGAGTACATTTCTACGGAGATATGAAATTTTGGAGTGAAAAGGTTCAAATTAGAAAACAAGTGGAAAAACTTGGACCAGACCACATCAAGTGTTACAGTATATTATCTACAATGTTTTTAATTTTACATTTGATTGGACTGTTTTTAAGAACTGAAAGCAATATAATTTCTTGGGAGACGGAGAGTTCATACGCCATTGACGTTGAGAGGGGCATCTTTATATACATATATATATCTTACAACACATGAAGAATGGAAAATTCCTTTTATCAAGGTTTGTGTGCAATTCAAATGAAATATTTCTTCTATTTTTAAGTAAAATAAATTAGCATAATATTTTTACATTTTTTTTTATTGATACTTACATTCAAACATTTTTGCTTTTATTAGTAAAATCATGTCAAACCTTGTCAAAGCTTTTAAAAAATAACGAAATTTAAAACAGTCCAGTCATTAGATTAAAAAATATATACATTGTTTATATAAAGAACATTTAAAAAATCCATAGGCCCATGAACTATGCCACTTCAGAGTCAGCAGGCGCACGAAGATCAATATTTCTTTCCTGAAAACAGACCGTCTAAAGACCTAACTTCTGGAGGCTACTGACATCCTGGAAAACTACACCGCGATTCCCGATTATAGCACGTGAGGTAGGATCACCACTCCTAGGCCTGGTCGGTGTAAGTTGCCTATTGTACACTGGCGGATCTGTCATAACCCGGAGAGTGAGCAGATTTTTAAACATAAATATTTCGTTTTTTTTTTTTTAAAAAGAGAGAGTCTGGGGTGGCGGTCATAAATAGACTAAATAATGGCAAAACTATTTTATTAAAGGCCAACGTTTCGACCCGACTTTGCAGATCTTCAAGGAGATTTGTTCAGCAAGGAGTTTCACTTAAAATTGAACGAAACGTTGGATTTTAATAAATTTGCTACTATTTAGCCTATTTATTACCGCCACCCCGGACCATCTCCTTCCTTAATAATTCAATGGTCAACTATTAAGTATTCAATTCGTTTTTTTTTTTTTTTACTTTTAATTATTTAATTTAAAGAAATCTTGGGACCGGAATTCGAATTCAAAAACCGTTGGGTTAGTTGACTAGCAGATTTTTATTATTTATTTATTTAAATCTCTACCCTGCCAGTTAGGCAATACGAGTGTTTGCAGTAGTGGATAGCTACGCATGCGTGCATAACTAGCCAATACTGCAATCGATACAATTAGATTTTCTGCTTATCTTGGCTCTTCCATCCTCTGTGGTGGAGCTTCTTCTCTTCTACCCAAATAGAGATGGACTGGACCAATGATGTCTTTCCACAAAAAGTCCTTGTAGTGCGGGTAGTTCTCTCTGGTCACTAGCTGAGGGAGATCGCTCTCCGATAAGACATAGGGAGCCCAGTCTCCCTCAGCAACTTAGCCCTTGACTAGCAGATAATTGCATACGCTTTAATCCTCTCGGCCACACCACCCCTTTAAAAAAAAAATATTATTGAATAATTATTAAGTGACCTAATTCCCAATTAAATAATTACATTAATATTAATATAGGAGCTTAATATCTGTGCTAGTGGACGGTGGTGAGGCTGTTGGTGTGTCTCTGGTCTGAGGTATCGAGGCTCTATTTTAAAACATTGAAGAGGATCCCATTGTTAACTATAAAAAAAGAATGGGATAGAAACGTCGAATAAACAGCAGGATCAATGAACATTTTATAATTTATTGAATAATTATTAAGTGACCTAATTCCCAAATATATGTTAAAATATAATACTCAAAGGTCGCTTGAAGAAATTTTATAAATGTATATATTCACATATATCACAAGACGTATAATAAAAAGACGTTGTATACAAAAACGTTACTTTGGGTAAAATCATCACTTATTGTTAGTGGTTCAGTTCAATCTATCATTTGATTCAACTTCCTTATTATTTTTACTGAGATGGAAAATCTTTAAGCTTCTCTATCATTTTTATAAAATATTATCGCAAAAGGAAATTTTTTTTTTGTTGAGAGAGAGAATTTATTTTCTAGGATAAGAATGATTTACCACCCTGACAAGAAATCTTTTCAATATAATCTCCAGTTCTAAACTTTTCCTTATCGTTTAATCTTCTCGGCCAACTATACATTATTCTGAAATTACTAATTAAATGGGTGATTTTGTTTTCTCTCTGTGATCTACTGCTTCATTTATATATATTTAGTTATTCGTTTACATACACTGGGTGCCCCGTAAGTCAATGAAAATATTTGATGAGGTAATAGTAGACATTAAGAGCTACAGTTCATTCATATTTATACGAGTTTTAAATCATCATGAATTTTAACATTCATAAATCGCTTAGATAATATTTAAAAATTGTTCCATTGTATGCATAAATGAACATAAAAGGAATAAACTTGAAATTTA